GGATCATGTCCACACCCCACCAGGTGGTGCATAGGAGGTCTGTAATCCCCCGACTCCAGGGATTCATGGGCATCTCCAGTTATTTCAAAATCTACTTCATGGTAAATGTTTCATTTCCCATCATTTCCCAATAGCTATAATGTTAGATGGATATCAGGAGTGGCTGTTTGGAATGCTGGGAGAGGACCATTGCCAAGACTTTGTTGGAAACTGCTCTTTAAAAAGGTATTTTTGTTTGATTGCTTGTTCGTTTTTGTTTTAGGCAACTGCAAGTAAATGCAATAGGCTGATTTACATTGGTATGAGCCTGGCTGGGTTGCATAGATCTTACTTAAGTGCTGTTTTTAACTAGGAATTTAAATAAATTGGGTGGTTTTCCGAATGTGATGCATGGTAGAAAATGAATGGCTTCCATTAAACAAACACAATAGAATATAAGGATAACTATCTTGCATAATCTAGCGGAAATTAGAGGCAGCAGGAATGCAGTCCACAATCAGCAGAATATGGTGTCTTTCAAGAAGCTGGTTGGCTTCATAAACTGTGAATCCCTGGGCGTTATTGATGCTTGATTGAAAGTGTAGTCAATCAAGCTACTAGGGCATCTCCATTGCTTGGAGGTGTTTTGTAAGTTCATTACATCTTCATGAGAAGTGTTTCTCATTATTGCAAATATGTTTCATCCATCAGTGAAGCAATATAATTCTCTTTAGATGGTTTGAATGATGTAAATTGTAGATAAGGTACAGGCCAGTGTTCGTATGTTCACAATATAAGATTGTGATATTTTGATCATTTTTAAAGGGTTTGGGATTTTCTGCTGAGGTACAGCTGGCAAACTTTTTTCCCAGATGGATAGCATTGATGAACTTGGGAGTCAGAGTGCTGAAATGGTGTGGGATCGGGGAGATCCAGGTTGAACTCCTCACTTGGCAATGAAGCTCACTGAGCGACTTTGGGCCAGTCACTGACTCTCAGTCTAAGCTACCGCACAGGGTTGTTCTGAAGATGAAATGGAGCGACAACTATGGAAGCCACCTTGGGTTCCTTGCAAGTCGAACAAAGGCAGGATATAAATGTAATTATCAGCATAATGAAATTCTTGATGCTATCAGTTCTGTAGTCTCAGATAATGCAGCTGTTCTGGGTGTCTGCAGGAGTTTCCTTAGGGTGGAAGCGAAGCTGCGCTGCACTTTTTGCTAGTAAGTCATTCCTATAGCATGCGCTGCTGCAACCTGGCTGTGCGGTTCTTCTGGCACATTTAGCATCATGTTCCATGATATTTAGAAGCCTACCATGGAGTATAGAGGATCCAAGGAACTAAACAACACTAGTTCAGAGGAGTGTTTTATTCAAGAAGCACCATGAGCTACACCACGCAGAGTGAGGAACAGGGGGCAAAAAGCACCAGGGGAATAAGAGAACAATGCCCAAATGCAGAAACTGTCTTAAGAGTATCAGATATTGGATGGCATCCTTGCTCTTATTGCAATACGCCTTGTCTTAGAAGGGTTTCCTCCATCTTGGAGGCACTCTGGGGCTGCCTGTTCCAAGCTGCTGCCCTCCAGATGTTTGGGGCATGCATTCCCTGCATTTCAAACCATGGGTCATGCTGGTTGAGGCCGACTGAAGTCCAAAACTTCGGGAGGGCATTGGATTGGAGCTCTGGAGAGTAGCTCTGGAGAGTAGCAGTCAAGTCTGTGTGCCATGACTTAGTCTTGAAAGGAAAAATTAGTATGATTGATCTGGTCTTAGAGTTCGGGAGGAGCCTGGCTACTCATGTTACATTTCAGGTTGGTATCAGCCACTTCTTCCATCAACTAGCTTGAGACTTAAATCTGAGCAGCCCGTCAGAGGATGGCAGCGTTAGGAAATAACTCTGCATAAGAAACATTTCAAAATTGCAGACGCAAAATACGGATGCCAGTTTTTTTTATTCTTGCAATAAACTGAAAATGATTTGACATCTACTGAGCAGATCCATATCATTTACAACAACATTTTTTGTTAGCTTTTCCAAGAGAAGCCTGTTTGGACAGTTCAATGATCAACTGAAGATTGACCACTACACTGAAGATTAAACCCATAAATATACAGTTAATAATGGACCACTTTTTATTTACTTACCTTTTTGTTTATTGAATATTGGTTATTTTTGTTGTTGGAAGAAACCTCTTTGCGTTGAGAGAGTTTGAAGAAATGTCCTGCAGGACAACATGCTGTATCAGCATGCTGCATTGTATCTTTGGATCTAATAAGCAATTAAGGATGCAGAGCTGATAAATACACACCTGTGTGCAGAAGCACACACACACACACACAATCTCACTAAGGCCCATAGTAAAATGCCCCAATACAATTCGTACTAAGCACATTTTTACAATATGCAAAATGTGGCAAGGGCAATGGCTTCTATAGTTCTATAACTGGTCCTGAGAGAGCTAACAGCTGCTTTATTTTGTGAAATACATTATAAAGTAAGGAAGGAGGGGGAAGGAGAGAGCAAGTAATGTAACTAAAGGCAAGATCAGAGGAGACGCCATTCATGCAATTAGCAATTGCATGAATGGCCCTCAGAAGTAAACTAGCCTGAATCTGTGTTCTGACAAAGGCTCAGAGGGGTTTAGCAAGGCTTTAAACTTCTGGATTGGACCATGCTATTTGCAAGGGAATTCTCTCCCCCCCCCCCCATATGGAATGCCCAGTGCACAGCAGGGGGCCAAGGGCTGAAGTTCTGGTGCTCCCATGGTAGTTTCCTCCTCTGACGTGCCCCATGCCTGCTGTTACTTTGCCAAAGCCAGTCATGCAAGATGCTTGACATTGTTCATCTTTTTAGCCCTCAGACTGCAATCCAGAAAATAGTCACTCTAGAGTAAGCCTTCTGAGTAAACAGATGTAGGATCGCTATATACCTATAATGGGAAAAATGATCAGGTGGGTTATTAAGAACAGAACTGATAGTCCCATCCTGTGGGCTTCAGCAGCTAATGCGTAAATCAATGTGGTTGTTAAATATAACCATCAATGTTCTTTTTCCTGAAGACTTTAAGGCATTATAAATAAAAGCTCTAGATTTTGAACTTACACCCACAGTGAATTGCTATATAAACCAAATCCACTGAATCCTGCAGATTAGTGCAGTATAGATTTCGCTCCATGGAGATAACAAATTCCATTGAAAAAATAACTTCTGGTGACTACAGAACAGGGTCTGTTATTTCTTTTAGCTATAAGAATTTAATCTAGCAGGTCCACATAAAAGTTGTCTTCCTCCACCCCTTTTCCCATAAAAAGAAACAACAGTATTTTTCCCTTGATCATGGGGCAAAATCCTTGTTGTGGCAGTCCATTTTCCCCATCTCACACCAACTTCAACATTATTTCTTCCAAAGCAGTGGGCAGGGTCTCATGACAAGCCACAGTGGGGTTTGTTTTGTTTTGTTTTACCACTGTTGGTCTGTTGTGTTATCTGAACCCCACTGTAGTATTTCAGCATGGTCCATTTGTTCTTTAGAAGCCATGACCAGATGATGGTTGTTCTCTGGGTTCTCCACACCACGGAGACACTCCATGGTGGTTTGTTGGATCATTCAAACCCAGAAAATGCCACCCATCGTGCTACCAAGGTCAGAAACAGAAAGGGATGGCTAAGAAGCTGGCCAGTGGGTGCCTCTGACAGTTATGCGAAACAGCTCTGCCCACCTGTTCCCAGCTGCGCCCATCTCCTCTAAAGACCAGCTGGGTGGCAGTGCAGAAAGGAAGCACACAGGCCTAAGGGACGCTCCCTTGATGGCAGCAGGGGAATCAGCTGAGTGGTGCTACCCCAGCTGGGCACCACCACCGGTCCAATTCTCTCCCTCTCCCCCTGCTTGCATGAGGGGCTTCTCAGGCATTTGCATGGGGGGGGGGCTCAGCAGGGGAATCAGCTGAGCTGCACAAGTCATTCTGCACTGCCATCCAGCTGATTCCCCCCTTTTTCCTGTGCACGAATCAGGCAGCCCGCTCCTGCTCCAATGCTTCTCTCCGGAGCAAGAGGGCAGGGTGCCCGATCCCTCATCTTTTCGGCTGTGCTTCAAGGCATGAGCCCTGTTTGACAGCCGGAGTGAGCAGAACTGGGCTTGTGCTGACCGCTGCCTGTCAGAGAGAGGAGCTTTATTCCTCCCCGCAGGGTCTCCTGGGATGCTGCCTGGAGGATTGAGACAGGAGATGGTGGGAGGAGACTTAACACCATGAGCCTGATAATCTGTGCGTTAATTGAAACACCTGCAAACCATGGAGCCATGCAGGTTGCTTGTTGCGATGTGTGAACCGAGCCAGTGTGGTGCAAGTACTACTTGCATTGTGGGATAGTCATAGAGTATTTGCATAGTACATTTGAGCAAAGCGGAGGCTGGACTGCTAGGGCCGTGCAAAGAACAGCCTCATGAGGTCTTGCAAAGGGTCTTGCAAAGGGACCCCAAAGATGGAACTGGCCCTGTGTGGGGCAAATGATGAGAAAAAGAATATGCCAACAAGGGTGGTGCTAGGTACTCACAGGACCAAAAACATGCATAAATTTGCATTTGCTCTAAGCTGTGTGTGTCTCCCAAGGGGATGTCTCTTTGTACAGAGGGATAGAACTGTTATGCGGAGCGGAGGGAAAGGGACCTGACTTCATGGGGGAAAGCCCTTAGATGCCTCCCAGAGGTTCAGGGCTCCAAATAAAGGGACAAATCTGAGAGGGATGGTTTAACTTGGAGTCCTGCACTGAGCAGGGTGGTCAGCCGATGGGCTTCCTAGGTTGGCTTCTAGGATCCAATTCCGTGGGATTCCATGAAAGATCCGGGCTCCAGCCCTAGTGAGCCCTCCCCTAACCCCGCATCTGGAGTCCCAGCTCTACTACGGCGGAAAGAAGGGCGGCGAGCGTTCCCTTTAAGAGGCCGGGTTCCCTTGCTTTGACGTCAGGTTGTTTCTGCACCAGAGCCCAGCATCTGATAACTCGTTCAGGCAGGGGGGGTCGAGGAAGAGGCGAGTGCGGCTGGCAGGAGAGCGAGAAGCGAGCGAGCCCCCGTGGAAGTGTCGCTGCCGGCTCTTCTTCACCTTGCCCCTCAGCCTCCCTTCCCGCCGCCGCCGCCGCAACGATGTCCGTGGCGGGCTTGAAGAAGCAGTTCCACAAAGCCACCCAGGTAGGGAGCGCGTCGGGAAGGGTCAGACCCGGGAGGGGGGCAGGCGCCACGCCGCTACGTGGTGCTGGCTGGCCGCCGCCGCCGCCGCGGGGTCGAGGCGCTCGTCTGCTCGCTCGCTCTCCAGCGGGAGCTGCGGCTTTATCCGTCCGAGCGGGAGCCTTTCCTCCAGGGAGCGCTGCTCCTTGGGGCGGAGAGCGGGAGGACGGCGAAGATGGGCGGCCTTTCGGGGAGCGTTTGCCTTTTACAAGCGGCACTGCTGTGTGTGTGTGTGTGGGAGGGGGGGATGCTGCCGCGAAAGGCCGCCACGCTGTGCCCCCTCCCCCTTGGACGGCGGGAGACCCCCCGCTTCGCCTCTCCGTGCGCGCCCCCTGCCTTGCTTCGGAACAGCGTGGGCGATGCCAAATGTTCCCCCTGTGACTGCGGCAGAAGACGGGAAGAGGCCCGGGCTGCGCCTGGCCGGACCCGGACGGGTCTGCAGCAGACGTGGGGGAGCTCTGCGCGGGGACTCGCGCGCGCACGCCGCGCTCCGGCCCGGCCGCCCGCCCGGGAGGGGGTGGCGGCGGCGGCGATTTTGGCCGTGCCTCGGTTCCGGCTTCTCGTGGCGGGCGCGCGGCGCGCTCTCCCTCCGCCGCCGGCGCCGGAGCCACCGCAGAGCCCGCCCGCGCGAGGGGGCTGCGTGGAGCCTGTCTCGGGAGAAGGGAGCGGAGCGCAGGGCGCCACGTGCCCGCCTCTGCCGGGGGCCGGGCAGCGCTGGCCAATTGTCCTCTTCCGTCACCTCCCAGCGCGCTGCCCGGCTGGGACTCGCATTATGTAAAGTCCCCCTCCAGTGACCTTGCAGTGATGCAGTCCCAGGGCTTTGCGCGCCCGTGTCGCTCCCGCCTCTCTCTCCCAGCTCCGGTCCCCATCCCAGCTCCGGTCGACCGGGAAATCATTCCGTCCTTCCCCAGGGCGATCCTCGGGCAGACGTTGTAGATCCTCACCGCAGCGCTCTCACACTTCTGGCTTTGAATCCCCGTCTGAAGTTTACTAGGTTACCTTGTAGGCTGAGAAGCCGGAGCAAAGGAGGGGGTGCTTGTTTGCCTCATGGGCGTTTTAAGGTTTAAGGTGAAATTTGGATGCCAGAAAACTTTCAGGACAGGGCAAAGGTTAATCTGTGAGGTTCTTGCTCGCCTTAGTTTGAAGGGATGTTCAACAAAGTCTAAAAAGGTATGTTTAAAAAGAATAGTCTTGTGGGTTTGTGAGCTTGCAGTGTGCATAGTGAGTAGCTACACTAATTTGGAGCATGCAGTGCGGAGCAACTCCATGTAAGTGACCAAGAAGTAAGTTCCACAAGCTCAGCGTGGATCAGATTGCAGCTTTAATGCTGCAACTTTTAAAATTAGGGTGGGTTATTTTTTTTTTTTGAATTGTCATTCAAGGATAAGATTCTGATTCACCTTAGGTTGTTGTGAACTTGGAGGGAAAACTAATTCCGTCTTAATGACAGTGGGATCACAATGGAACTACTATCTTAATTTCACTTACAGTTGAAGGCCACTTCTTATGTAACATTTCTTATGGAGTGACTTCAAGATAACCTCATGCTATTTAAAATATCTCCCTAGCAAATCTGCTCAGAGGGATGCAGTGCGACACACTACCCTCCCTTTCAAGACCTCGCTCACTGCATCATCTTAACAGTAGGAAACACAGGACTTGCTTAATGGCATGGCTCTCTCAGTATTAGCTTTTTGCTCCGATTCATTTATCATCTTGATGAAATTGCTCTAAAAGACAGCTGTAAATCCTATTTAAAGAGCAGGTTTGGACAAATGCTTTCCAAGGGAAATGTGAAGATGCATTGCAATAATTATGCTCAAAACCTTTGATGCCAAGGCATGATGGGTTGTCATAGCTAGAACAAACAGTGAATGTAGCTTCATTTCATCTTCTCATTGTCCCATTTCCTTCCTGTCACCAATTCAAACCAAACCAATTCAACTGTACATGTGAGAGGGGAAGCTTAGGCTTTGACACTCCGTGCATTCATGATTCAATGAAAATAAGATGAAGATCATTCTCTATAGTTAAAAAGAGGACCTTTGAATGCCTGAGTGTTCACATGAGTTACAAAATACTTTAAGCAAATGTTTTAAGAAGACAATAGGAAAATGATGGTTCAATGACATTTGATGACATGATAGCATTAATTAGTTGATTAATCAGTTAATTTGAACAATACTTTTAGTGGACTTTTTTTTCGCCCACTGTAATTAATGATCAGAAAAATCCTGTGATTTTAAGACGTTTGGGTTGTGTGTGTGAAGGGTTCCCCCTGCCCAGCCATTCTGTGTTCTTCTTGTACTCTGTGTGTTTTACACTTTTGAAACTTTCAGGCTGGTTAATAAACAAGAATGAAATACTGACTGTGTTTTCCTGATTAATTTATAATCTTAAAACTCATTTCCATGTATCAAAGTATGATTCATCATTCTGCAGTCCTCGAATGTAATGTGATAGTTAAATCACATTTTATATAACGGCGCCATTTAAAGCTTCACTTTTTAAAAAAATGTGCTGAACATTTAAAAAAAGTCTCTAATAAAACTCAAAACATTGCAGAGGCACAATTTGTCTCAAATTAAATGTAGTTCCTCCAGATATTTGAATTTAAACCAGATTTGTCTCCACCAAATTTGTTACGGGCAGAGTTGAGGAAATATGTTTTGTGACTCCTTGTCCTTGGTTCACCTCTTTAACCTATGCTGCTTCCCAGTTAGCATAATCTGACAAGACTAACACACAGATATCCCTCTTATCCTTTCCTGTGCAAGGTAGAAAGAGGCCTGGCGCACTTTGGCATTCCATGTGAACCTGTGAATCAAATCTCTTTTTGGTATGGCTTGGGCTTCTGTGTGCCTCTCTGAGTTGCTTCATACAGATTATCATTTTCAGGTGTATGACGAAAACATGAAGCATGTGTGCAACAAATGGGCCTTTGAAAAGTTGGGGGATCGACGAGGAATAATAGGGAAAGGGAGAGAAGCAAATCGGCCAAGTTCCTGCTTTTGACCCACTGCACCCCACCCCTCCCCTCCCCTGCCTCGCCACTGCCAGCAATAGCACAGACCTGGTGCTTTGATGATCTCAGCGGCCCCTGCCCTGATCAGTGCAGTGAAATGCTCAATTGCTTCGGCTCATTGTCTCACTTCCAAGGTTCAGAGCTAGGTGAGCAAAACGCTGCTCACTTGGCTCCAGAGCTGAGCAACCCATAAAGAGGACCGATGGTGTGTTGGTGGGTTGTGAGCAACCTACAGTTCAGAACAACTTACCATGGGTTGCTTGTGGTTAACCAACCATGGCTTCTTGGGGTGGCTGGGTTCAGACAACAGGATAATCTACATTTCAGCAATAGCCATGGTTCAACCACAACCCATCTCAACCTTCCATTGTGGAGGGTTGTTGTTACCTGGATATGCTCAGTGCTCACTGAACACCCTCTTCTGGGGAAGTTGCTCCTTAGGCTGGGTTTCTTTCTTAAGTTCTGCAAACCGCAGCTGACACATGGCCTATCCTGCTTGAACAGAATTGGCACTTGGCACCTTAGACTCTTTATTGGTATACTTAAAAACCCAACACACGACTGTGACCATCATTTGCTGGCAATGTAGACCTTACACAGGCCCACCTGGCAGCCAGCCAGCTGCAGCACTCGGGGCTGTGCACGCCGCGGGCCAAGCCCGGTCAGCTGCCACGTACTGTGCTAGGCAAGGTCACTTTTGGCTACCTCTTTGTAGGCACGTGAACTGGGTCTCACATGGCCCCGGCTGCCTTCTGATGGCCTCAAGACTCTCCTTCTTTTGCTTGTTCTGCCTCGGGATAGGCAACCAGTGCTTTGCAAAGGTTTTGAACTTCAGCTCTCATAATCAGCTGGAGGTTTCCTTCTCTGTTCTGCATAGTCAGGAAGGCACAAGTCTCTCCCGGTCAATCATTTAGCAGTAGGTCTTTGGGAGAGGCTTAACATGCCCCCACTGGGAATGCTGTTAATGGCCTTCCTAATGAGTAAAACTGAAGGGCCATAAACCAATTTGGCAAGCGTTGAAATTATAGTGGGGAGGAAAAGGGCACTGAACTTTTACAAAGCTGCCAAGTGTCAAGCTAAGTGGAGTCCTCAGGTGGTGCTTGTGATGGAGCCTGCTGGAGAGAATCTGGGAGAGAAAGGGATGTCTTGCAGCTCCTGTGATCTGCGTCCTAGCTTGCTGCAAAGAGCCAGAGTCAAGGGCGGAAGGCACCCTGCCAAATGCGCAGTTCCAGATCTTTCAGGAAAGAGGCTGGACAGCATACCAGAAACGGGGAAAGGCATCTGGAGCGGAGCATGTCTCTACTCTCTCATTAAGATCAGCACATTCTTAGAAAGAGGCACCCAAGCAGGGCCTTGCTCAACATTCAATGGGAGCCCAGGTCTCTGCAGCCCAGCATGCAATCCATGTCTCATAGCATTTTCATCATTTTCACCCTTTCTAGGGCGAAAGTGTCAATGTGATGGACCCTCCCTCTTCTGTTTACCACTGTGGCGAACCAGCTTCCACCCGGGGCTGGGGATCCTGCAGTCTTCCCTGTCTCCCGTTGCCCTTCACCCTTACTGGCCACACCAGCTAAGGCTGACAGCAACTGGAGAGCCCACCCAAGCTGGTGGACCACAGTTTCCCCGCTCGTGTGCTAAGTCGTCTGGGATAAGATCTCGGTGAGAACACCTGTCGAATTGTCATCAACAGGACTAAAGACTCAGTCCATGTTTAGACGGAAGGGGGTTCTGTAACTCGTAGCACTCCCCAGCCAGCAAGGAATTGTAGGGCTTCTACATCTAAACATGCAATGGACTGCATCCAAATGGATGTTTGCTTCAGAGGAAATTATGCCCAATTGTGGAAATCCTGCTGCCAATTTCTGCTCATGCTAAATTAGCAGGTAACATGAAGCCTAATCCCCCAGACCTGATTTGGCCAGTGTTTAATTTCCAA